ATCGCTGCCCAGCACGCCCGGGCTCCCGCCCTCCTCCCGGGCCGACGCCAGCTGGGCTCCTGGCCGAGGGGCCGCCATGCGCCTGCCCTCGGCCGCCTGGGCCCGCGGCCTGGCTTGGGGGCCGCTCGTGCTGGGCCTCTGTGGGCTCCTGGCAGCTTCCCAGTCCCAAGGGGTGAGGAAGGGGCCTGGGGGCGCGAGGGTGGGAAGGGGGTGTGGACAGCCCTCCTCGCGCCTCCGCTTGATTTTCTCCGTCTCCCTGGAAGGTGCCCCCGTACCGCCCGGAGAACCACACCTGCCGGCACCCGCAGGAGTACTACGAGGCCAGGCACCAGGCCTGCTGCTCCCGCTGCCCCCCAGGTGAGAGCCGGCGCGGATGTGGCCACGTGGCTCCAGCCCCCCTGTCTGGGGAGGAAGGCGGACCCTGTCCCCCAGGACCGCCGGCTGGCCGAGCAGTGAGACGCCAGCCATCTGTCCTGTGCAGGCACTGGGATGGGGCCTCCTCGCTGAGCTGGGCACGGGGTGAGGGGCAAAGAGGCAGAGACACCGGCTGGGATCACACGACGGGGCAGGCGGCCCCAGTGAGGCCGGGCGGGCTGCTGAGCATCTGCTGCCCCCCACGGTCTAGGCACCTACGTGTCAGCCGAATGCGACCCCAGCCGGGACACGCTGTGCACGCCCTGCCCGGAGAAGTCCTACAACGAGCACTGGCACCGCCTGTCCACCTGCCAGCTCTGCCGCCCCTGCGACCCAGGTGAGTGGGCGGACAGGGCTGGTCCCCTGGAGCACAGCCCTCCCTGAGCTGTCCCCTCCCACCAGTGATGGGCTTCACCGAGACTGAGCCTTGCACCAGCAAACAGAAGACCCAGTGCCAGTGCCGGCCCGGGTGGTTCTGCGCCCTCCGCGACTCCGAGTGCAAGCACTGCGAGCCGCTCTCAGACTGCCCGCCTGGTACCGAGGCTGAAGCCAAGCTCAAAGGTCAGAGGTCACCGAGGGCAGAGGGTGTAAACGGGACAGGGAGCATGGTACTGTGTCCATGGCGACGCCCACTCCCAGTAGTTCTCTTTGTCCTAAAAAGCCCACAGAAGGGGTCTGCAGAGATATGGAGCTGGAACAGGTGCTGGGGGCACCTGAGGGGTTCTCACTGCTTGGGAGGCTCAGGAACGCGGAGTTGGGGGATGGTGCCACAGAACGTGGCAGAGGGGGCAGAGGATGCTCACGGCGAGGCAGAAGGCTCCCCGTGTGCCGTGCACCCTGGCTAGCCCGCTTTTCCCTGTCAGGTGACGATGGGCAGGATAACAAGTGTGTCCGCTGCAAGGAGGGGCACTTTCAGAACACCTCATCCGCCAGCGCCCGCTGCCAGCCCCACACCAGGTGAGTGTGCCCGCGCCAGGCTCCATCCACCCTCTGTGACGCCCCCCAGCCGTAACACCTTCCTCCTGTTGTTGCCTCACTTGAGTCAGGGCACTGGGGGACAGGGTCATGCGCTTCTCTGTCCTCCGAAGGTGCGAAGACCTAGGCCTGGTAGAGGTGACTCCAGGCACCACCCAGTCCGACACAAGCTGCAGCACT